AGGGTCAGAGTAGATGCACTGAAGAGCGATGACATACCTGTTCACCAACCGGGTACGCACGAGATTACACTTACCCGTCGTCGCACCCCGCGTAAACTTCCTTTCAAATGGCCAGTAAGTAATGGAAAACGGAGGAAATCGGTACTACATACCTGTTACGCTTGAGGCGCGGACGAGTCCACTCTACTGAGAAGCCAGAGTCAGACTTGATCCAAGAAACATGGGACGACGTACCGAGTCGAGGCGAGCATCAGCCTGGACGCACGAGCTGTAGAGTGTCCCGCAGCGGTCGCCAACTTGGAACTTCGTTCTCGGCTCACAAGACCAGTTTGAGGGTCGTCTTACGCAGTCAGAGAAGAGAGACGAGGACTTGGAGGAGAGACATTGTGGTGGTAGACGACAAGGAACGTGCGCTGGCAGTGTTTGGCGCTGTCTACGTCATCTCTGACGCGAGGTCAAACCCTCGAAGGACTTTGAGAACGAAGTCGCCTGGAACGGACCGATCCCAAAAATCTATTCAGTTTGACAGACATTTTTTCTGGGGGTAGAACGATGGAGCCGTCATCATCAAAGGCAACCCTGCGCCGTATGTCGCCTTTGTAGTGTAACGGTAACACGCCCCAGATCAAGTATTGACCACCATCTTTGCACTTGTCTGGGGATCCCGAGTTCGACTCTCGGCAAGGACGTAACACGACTGATAGTCGATTTTTGCAAAAAGTGCTTTTTTCGCCTCGAAATATAGAACAAAATGCGAACGACGGAAGGACAACGAGTCATTACCACTCTCAAGTTGAAGCTTATCGAGTCCGGAGTCGAATCAGACAGGTCCCGAAGTCGAAGCTTGATAGAACCTGGGCAACAAATGCTGCAATGGCTAGGGTCAACCCACGTATCGAAAAAGAACAAACCCTAGCGCCGCCGTTGCAAGATTTTTGTTTTTGTTTTTTGATGGAAAACCGTATCTCTCGTCCGCGTCGCAAACTCGAATGACTGTGGCGACTCTCTCAGATCCCTGCCACCCACCTTTGCCTCCGCGCTGTTTCCTTTTCTTTACCATGTCTTTCCTTCGCCCGGGTGACTTGCCCATTTCCTCGTACTCGGATCGTTTTCGCTCTTTCTGCCTTTTCCGCAGTCCGGGTCTCGCACGGGGGTACATGCGAGGTACGAGCACAGATCTGTTGTAGTGTCTGTTCAGAAGAGACTACGGGGGTCTTCGGAGGCTGGGCTCAATCCCTCAAATGCTCTTTCAAATCGTGCCTCACCCTTCCACAATGCAGCCCTACCGGCGCTTCTTTCGACGGATATATCTCACACACGTCCTTCTCGCTAGCACGCACACACTCCAAGAAGTCCTTTCTCTTGGGAAGTTATCCTTACCTTGATGACGCGTATCCTTACCTGGACGTGCATATTACTTGGCTTATGCTTAGCCGGACGGCATCACCCCACGCAAGATTTATTCCCATTACCCATGACTGCTCCTTTCTTTTCTCGACTTTATTTTCTGCCTTTACTTCCTCGTCTTCCTCGCCGCTTCTCGCCCCCCGCACGGGAGACAACTTTCCCGTCATGTCGCCATACCCTTGTCAACAGTTTCCCATATCGCCTCCCCTTTCGCCTGTTCTCAGATCTATTCGATTCATAGCGCAAAGTCGACCTCGAAAGCAGTATCAGGACCCCACTTCTTATATATGGCTCGAACGCAACCGCGGAAACGAGCAGCCCACGCCGGTGACGTCCGAGGCGGTTCACCTTCACCTTTTCCTCCAAGACGCTTCCCAGCCGCCCTCATTTTTCACCGTACAAGGGGGTAATTCCCGAGCGCCGCCTCGCCAGTTCGGTCCGCCCACATTATAAATAGGTGGCACACAATGCCTCAGTTTAGCATCTTCCTGGGCTCCAGATGGCTTTTGCCCTGTTTCTTCCTTTGTTTTCTTTCCCTTACACTCTTCCCTGCCACCCTTCTTACCTTTGGTCTTCATATCTGCTGGGTATCTGCTGGGTACGGATGCGCACGCACAAGCAGCAGTTTTGCATTCCCACCCGGGGCCCGATGCGCGGGACGTCGGCCTCGAGCTCTCACTTGCATCCGCCTGATGATGAGCCCCAACGCGGATGGCCACCGGTCTTTTCCCCAGTCCCTGCCAGCCCTCGGGATGCAGCTCACAGCGTGCTCAAAGCCCGAATCCGGACGTGTCCTGTGCTTGACGCCAAGATTTACCGCTTACATTCGGCGACGGAATACACGGCGAGCCTGGCGGTGTTGAATATTCCTCGGGATCGGAGCTCGAGTGTCGACTGCGCCCCAACGCTGTCACCAGACTCCTACCATCGCGGCTCAGCGGGCAGCCTGTACACGTCCATTTTTGCCAGGGACTCCCTGCCGTCGCCTTTCGCCTCGACCCCTTGCCTGCTTTCCATCTCCTTATGCCGGCACCATCCAGGATTTTGCTCCCCCGGGCGCGCGTTTCTATCTCCCTGGGAGCTTGAAGCGCCTTCAGACATAGACCGTGCTTCCAACCATTCTTTTGACACGACAATGCCATCCACCTTCGCGCGAGTGCCGAACGGACCAGGCCCATTGATAGAACAATTCAGCCTGCTCTTTATCGAATTGCATTCCTTACATGCCTTCCATATAGGGTTTCCGCCGGCTGGCCAGCCTCCCACAAGACACTTGCTGCTCTTATCCAATCTCCAAGGCTCATGGTCGCGCTTAGCCGGATCCCTGAATATCGGGGGGGAGGGGAAATCAACAAACTGTTCATTCCTCATCGTCAGCTCACCGCGCTGCCAGCTCCCCGAGTCCCTGCATCTCAACGAGACCACGGTAGCTGCTTCGCGGTATCCCGCGGTGCCTTTTGTTTCGCAATTTTTCATCTCGATTGTTGCATCACTCGAATGCGCCGGTCAGACCCTTACACTTACACTTGCCCATTTTCAATGCCATTACTTGATCCTTTCCGGTCTTCTTCTTGAGCCCCAAGTCCCTTGTCGACACCTTGCATGCTGTGTGATCGTCTTTCGCTTTCGCGCGGCGTTTTTCTCGCAGAATCGTCAAGCCATGGCGCCTGCCTGGCGTATCTCCGCACAGCTCCAGCCACGCTGTTCCCGGAGCCCAATCGCACTCATCGCCTCGGGAAATCAATTTCCACAGCATAGGCATGATTGCGACAAACTCGACCGCGTTCTTGAATGCCGTACGAACGCTTCATCGGTGTTCTGCCTCATTCCTCGACATCCCTTTGTTCGAGTTGCCGAGTCCGGTGGGTAGCTACCTCCCTAGCTCTTTGGTTCCTCGTCGGTTCCTTCACCTCACCTGGTTGAATTTGGGTCTATCATCCGCTTACTCTCCTCTCGCTCGTTTAGACTGCGGGACTCACTTTCAATGCCCTCGCAGAATGGACCTTCCCATATCTTCCCCCACACTCCGTTCGAGGCAGCACCTTCACCGCGAACAACGTTATCCCCAATACCGGCTCTTGCACAACTAACAACGTCGACAGCATTACCACAATGTCGGAGGATCACCATCGGGTTTGTACCCCTACTTGTCGTCGCCGCTGCGCGAGCATCTCCCCGTACGTTCCCATCAAGGTTCGAAGACTTGCGCATCGGGGATGGTATCGACTCTAAAGCACACTTTATTCCATCCCATCTATACATGCCCTCCGCGCTGCACCTCTTTGCTGGGAGCGGCCGGTTTGTGTGAGCTTACGCTCCGGTTTGGTCACACCGAAAAAAGTAAAATTTCAGCTCGGGTGAACACCCAGTCGAAAACAAAGGTCTCAGCCCCAGTTTAGATGGAATCTCAAACCGTTGCTGGACACATTAGTTTCGACCGCAGTTTTGGCTGCAACACGCCGAAACAATAAGTTTTGGGCTGGCCGAACACGCAAATCAGTAGTTTAGGCCGGCCAAAACTGCCGTCGAAACAATGAGTTTCGGCTATCTCGGCTGAAACGGCAGCCGAATGCACTGGCTTCGTTTGCGTGTTCAGCTGGCAGCCCAAACCAGTGTTTTCGACTGGGTGTTCGCCTGAGCTGAAATTTCTCTTTTTTTGGTGTGGGTGCAGTTGGGTTCGGCGCCCACGTGCGTCCCTTTCCCCCCTTGTCTTCCGCTGCCCACGCGCTCAGAGTCTCCGGTCCCGCTCGAAGCTCTTCCCCCCTCGCAAACGCGCAGGCGCAGGTTCGGCAACGCGTCCCACACATCGCGTCGTGTCGTGTCCTCCTTCCCGCTTCAGTAGCCGACCGCAAAGCGGTCGAGCGGACGAGCCGGAGGCTCTCCCTCTACTAGGGAATCACACTGTAACGTATCGTTACGGTCATACACAAATGCCCGTACCGTGGGGACAGTGTGCCCTCCAGATTGTCCGTACGCGTTCGCGTACGGACATTGCTCCCATACGTTCTGTAACCGTACGCCCGTATACGGCTGCTCCCCGGTGCTCCCGCCAATTCAACCTGGAATCGTCGCAGCGGGTGCCGGGCTATCAGTGTGTAAAATACATCTCGCTTGGGCTCATTTTTTCACGGTTTGCCTTCGGATATCCGAAGTGAAAGCAGCATAGGCTTACTCCCAGACTGCCCGCAAAAGATTAGTGAAATTGTGCACGGATTGAGTATTATGGACATGCCGAATCGACTAGTGCTTTGATGGGGCACTTCGTTGACATCTCAGCAATCAAAACAAGTTCGTACTTTGTCTCCCGTTTCTCCCCCAGCTCGCAGTCGAATTTTCTTGCATACTCTGATAGTGCTCAGCTGTTCGGTTCATATTCCGCCTCTTCCGAAGGCAGATGGCCGGCAATTGAGTCCAAGCGAGCGACATTTTGCACTTCTAGTGTATTTCGCATTGCGAAGTCAAATATAGGATCGAAAGGACAACGAGTCAAGGTATGAACAAACTTGAGGGAGAAGAAAAAGGGTCATTAACGAAGGCTACAAGGGGACATGCGTAGTCTCGATGGTGTAGTGGTAACACATCGAAGCCGGGGAGTCTTCATAGTGTAATGGTAACACATCCCAGACGGAATAGTAATCTCCCTTGTGAACTATCTGGGCATCCCGAGTTCGAATCTCGGTGAAGACATATATAGGTGTGAAAGTGCTTTTTTCCCTCTTTTCATGAAAGCCCTCTCTGTTCGCCTGAAAATCTAGAAGAAAATGCGAACTCGACGAAAGCCAAGGAATTATGCCTTCAGACAGGTCCCGATATGATGTTCGGAACGGTGCCTAAATAGATTTTGAAGAAAAGATCAGTGGTCGCAGAAAGTTTTTGTCCTTGGACATCGGGTACTGCATACCTGAATTGAATCCATGCTGTGGGAGAAATAGAGCTCGGGCGCGTCGACGATTAGGAACCCAACGAACAACATATTTGATGGTGACCCGGTTTTGCCGATGCACGTTCGATATCCAACGAAAGCATGAGAAGCTTAAGTTGTGTCATGGGGACACCACGTCATTTTGAACTGGCAACAGACAACTCAGCTCGTCGCACCGCACACGAAGTGAGATAGTTATCTTCAACAATGCGCGGACAACGAGTAAGTACAAGTTTTTTTGTCAGATCCGGAAATTACCGAGGTTGTTGCAGGGTTAACGCAAGCCCGGACAAATATGCATAAAGCCTGCTGAGCTTCACAATGCAACGGGGCCCACAGAACTGTACCGATTTGCGTTTTTCACACGGACCGGCAAATCCCGACCGCCATCAAGCGTGTCGTTGGCTCGCGGTTCATCGTCGTGAAGGCCTTTTCCCTTCAACATGATAAACAGGACAGCAATCACGCTGAGCGCGTCAAGCGTTGGATTGATTGATTGCGTGCCTGAGCACGTGAGCGCGAATGATAGGCGCCACCCTGCCGATGTTGTTTTCGTTCGTTTTGGCGGTTTTCGCCCGGGCGATCCGAGTTGAAAACACGGCTCTTGCAGTCACGCTCCGAGCGAAAACTGGTTCGAACATGACGTGCTGTGAAACACTTGGATGTCGGAAGAAGGGGTGCCTTTACATAACTCCGCAGCGGTCTCCGGCTCTCCGCTCAACTCCGCCCACCATGATGCCATCATCATCACTGTGACAACAGCGTGACCTCCCTGCTCTTTCAACCACGACTCTCAAACCAGCCACCCACGCATCGAAGAGTAGGTTCTACTTCCATGTTCAGGCGCAACAGCTTAGCCACCCGAGATGTATACACCGCAGAAGTGCTCCGAATGTGGGGCTGAGCCTCCTCCGCCCAACGGTATTGCCAATGCCACCCTGTCCGGTCAAGCAAGCGAATTCGAAGCGGAGTCGGATCTGTGGGTCCGACGCCGCACACTCCTGGAGTCAAACGAACCCCCTGTTGACTCTGAGATTCCGTTCTTCCAATCGGTGGTGGCGAGAACCACCGCTCGCCTGGCGCGTCTCGAAACCTCCATCGCGCAGCTTCGTTGTCAGCTCGAAATCTTGGATGGCGAACATGAGGCAACGTCCATAGAGCTGACGCGAGTTAGGTCTATTCTCTCCCCCCTCAGACAAATGCCCGCGGAAGTGCTCTGCGACATCTTTTCGTGGACGTTGCCGTCGCCCAGATCTGCCCTGCGTCGTGAGCGCCTCGACACAAATGAGAGCCCATGGGTTCTGGGGCGGATATGTCACCGCTGGAGAGCCGTTGCAGTGTCGACACCCTCTCTGTGGACGGCCATCGCCATGACTTACCCCCAGCGCGACGGCCACTTTTCCCTCTATCCACTGCCCGCTGCCGTGATTCAGCTCGAACGCGCGGGGAACGCGCGGAGCTTGAAGATCCATTTCCACGGATCTGAGTCCCAGGACACCGATCTTGACACCGATCCTCAGGTCGAAATGTTCAGGCTCCTCTCGGAGCACTCTGTGCGATGGGAGGAACTCAGTATGAGAATCACTTCGAACCTAGCACCACTGTTGGCCGCCCTGCGTGGCCGTCTCCCGGCATTGCGCCAAATCTGGTTTGAACGGGCAACAGGCTGCATGTTTAACGAGCTGCTCCTCATTCCGACTTCCCTTCCCACGCACCAATTGACCCGATACCATCTTAACGCCCCGTGGCGTATCCACCGCGAGGTTCTCAAAGCGGCACAAAACCTTGTTGAGGCACGTATCGAGATCGATTCCGATGGAGAACACTGGTTGGAACCGGAGGGAACCATCATCTTATCCCATCTCCGCCGCCTATCCGTAACCGATTGCTACGTCTGGACGTATCTCCAGGCTTCAGCTCTGGAGGAAATAGCCTTTGAGTGTAACGGAGACGATGCGCAAAACGCTCTACGTTGGCTGAAACCCTTTGTCGCGCGCTCTTCGTGCACTCTCCGCACGTTGTCCATCAAAGGAGTACCCGACGCGACAGTCACCAAAATCCTCCAGGAATATCCTTCGATCGTCAAGTTCGCTCTCATCGTTTGTGCCGCCAACTATGCTCGGAACTCATACAGCACAATAAACAACCTCGTCTCCCGTTTCATGGTACCATTTCCCTACGACGTGATTTCTCCCCAATTAGCGGAATTCTACTTGGGGTGTCAGGGGGTGGCATACATAGATTCACTCGGCTACCTTGCGATGATAAGATCGAGGTGGAACGCAAGGGAGTGTCCTCTCAAGACGGCCGCCTTTCTAACGCATACTGCTGCACCACCTCTGACGCGGACCGGTTTCGATGAGCTTCAAAAGGAGGGCTTGGAGGTCTTGTGGTTGGAGGGCGCTGACTCGGATGCGTCAGGCTTGATGGAAGGTTGGGGGTTCGAGGAGGACTGGAAGTAACTGCATCTGTTTTCCCTGCAACTCGACCTTTGTCGAACGCCACGATCGTACCGCAATGCTGGCGCCACTTTCCAACGCTTCCGAAGCGTCCCAGGGGCCAGCTGCTGGAATGATCAGCTGCATTGGCCATTGGCCGTTGCGGGATCGTCGTTCCTTGTTCGTTGGCACTTGATTGGTGTTTTTGTCTTCTTTTGTGCAATATCAGAAATGCAAGCTATCTCATTGCCCGTCTCAGCCGGGGTTCGATGACAAAGGAAGAGCGACATGTATCGCGTACGCCACCTGCGCTGCACGCGTGTTGCGTGCAGACGTCGCTAACATAAAACATGGCTCTGCTCGCTGAGTGAACACCGAGATCGAGCAGGTGGAACACGTATGTCCTGATCACCGAGCGTCACATCGAATGGAGCTGCGAGCTGAACACCAGACCATAGCCAATGCGCATTGCTGATTCCCGCCACGCTTCCCAAACTAGCCGCGGCGCCGTGTCACAATGCAGCAGAACGCATGCCCTCGGCGTATCCCATGCACAACCAGGAACCCACCACACCGTTCGAGTCCAAAACGGCTGTTCGAGCGCGGCTTCGCGCTCATCCCATCAGATCCTCAGCGCTCCGGCGCTCAGCGTTGCGTCCGCATCGCAGCCGTACCGGCTATGAGGCGCGCAACCCACTGAGCACTGCTCGTGCAACTGGTGAGGAAGGATGAGCGACCGGGCGGTCAAGTTCAGGGTCGAAACATTGAAAGTTTGACGGCAGGGGAGCGAGAAAGCGACGCTGAAGAGGAGCGCTTGGTTTACTAGATCACAAGCAAACGCGATTGAAGCCGCAAGTCTTGCAATGTACTGTCTTGGTCGATACAAAGGTTCAAGGCACCGGCGGTATGGAGAGCCAAAGAGCAAAGTCTGAGGGAGAGAGACGCAGTATCGAATCAGAGCCACATGGTGGTCTGGAGAACCGGCACTCGGCTATCGAAATGCCGGTTACGCACTTGCCGTCTGCTTCCACCTCAATACAAACCTCAATGCCAGTTATGGCGCTCTCTTTCCGTCAACCTCTTGCGTGTGCATGCTCAGCCTTCGCTCGAGCTGGAGATCAATACCGTGACTTGTCGACGACTCGGACGGCTATCGAGAAAAACAATTACCTGCTCGCCAATCGAATCAGATCTTGTGCGCGTATTCTTTACTTCAAGTCGATCCACGTCGCAGGGGGGGATGCTCATCTGGCTGCGTGATCTCCTTTGCATGCTATTTCCATGATGAACGCTCGGCGGTATTTCCATCTGGCATCATGAAAAACTTCGTCTGCTCTTCTTTTCCTGTGCCGAAGAAATCACAGCAAAACAAAACAACGTTGAAAGAGAAATGGATGTCGGCTCGATCACGCTTGCGCAGCACTCGCCAGTCCCCGACGCCAACGTTCCTCACTGGCAGGCCGACTCGTCCGCCGCGGCCACCATGGACTACCCCGACTCGGAGACGAGCTGGAAGAAGTAATAAAGCAGAAGCACGAGCGCCGGAAGCGTAGGGACGCGCTGCAGGAAACGCAGCACGAACTGGGGACAGAGCTGGCGCGTGCATCGTCTGCCCGGTCCTCACCCTTCCCCCGGAGATCGTGTCGCGCTTTTTCGTCGCATGCCTCCGGGACGACTCCCCGGCTTGTCGTGGTACAATGCCGAGGCTGCTTACGAAGGTCTGCCGCCAATAGCGCCAGATCTCCATCCGTTCAAGCGAGCTCTGGAATTGTGTGCGGCTCGGCTCGGCATCTCCGCCAGTTCGAGGAAAGCCACCTCAACACATGGTTCGCGCGTCTTGTAGTCGTTGGCGAACAGCTGCAGCCCCTCACTCTGCCCATCTCCTTGGAGGACTTGCGGGGTCTGGCTCGGGGTGACGGAATCTAATTCCTTGACCTGTTTCGACCGGAGCTGAGCTGGAGATCATCATCAGCGACTGGTGTGTCATTGAGATGCCCTTCGATTCGCCGGGGCCCCCACGAAGATTCGTCCTCGTGACCACCATGTCACTTTTCAAAACCTCCAAGACGGACCTTTTCCTGGCTCGGCAACGCAAAGCACCGTCCGGGGTGTGGGTGTCGGATGCATCCCTGCGCAACTCGGCGACAAATGGCGGGATTGACGTCGCGGAAATGTGTCAGCTCACCGGCTGGTCGCGGAATAGACTCCTCGGGCCCTTTCTGCTTTCACCCCCTCCGGGGCATCGCTGCACGACGCATATTTGGATGGACTGGACAAGAGGGCCTGCTCGTCGCACGCACAGGACGGTCTGTATCGCGCGGAAACCT